CACTCAGAGGATGGAGCCTGTTGGCATGGAACAATGGTAAGTGGGAGGGGAGCGGAGGGGAGGAGATAGGGTGTAGAGGGGCACAAGTGGCATGGAAGGGAGATAGGGAAGGGGAAGGACGGTGCTTGGGGCTTCAGAGGTCAAGCACAAGAGGAGGAGCAAGGGGGGGTAAGGCAGCAAGGGGCAAGCTGTGTGTCCCCCCCTACCACTGCCTACCCTGCTGCAGTACTAGTGGGGACAAATTTAAGACAATCCATAGAATCTAATTATTTGGGGTCATCTTAAGGTCAAAGTCATCTTGGATTCAGGTAAATACAGTAAATCCTGCTGAAGCTGACTTTGAGTTAGGTTCTGAGATTTGTTATTATCCAATCATGCATGCTATGCTATAGTTGTAGCATCTGTAATTGAAATACTACCTGTCTATTCTGAATATTAGGAAAAAAATATTAGAAAATTACTTTTTCCTTAAACAAAAAGTGTGTGTGACACAGAAAGGATTTAATTTCACTACCACATGCACATGTATTCATAGGTGGACAGGCGGAGGTACAGGAAGGGTTTGACTTCACTACCTTGTAAGCTAAAGGGAAAAGCTTTTTGTTGCTGTTTTCTGTCATAACAACATGGACTTTGGTGCATAAGCATAATTAAGGGTGTGGGGAGGGAACTAAATTATTTGCCTGTTTATCTAACGTGTCTGTTTGTGATACTGACCTTATTGACTTCATGAGGAACATAAGAACTTGTTTCCTTGAGTCTGGAGATGGAGCTGTGACAGAGACCTCCAATTACTGCCATTAATGTGTTGAAATTTTGCAGCTGGTGAAGCTTCTGTGTTGAGAAACAAACAATACTTATTGCTTAATGTCTGTCACTGAAGTGACAGGCAGTGAACGATCATTAATTTTTTTAAATCAGAATCTAAAGTATTCTTAGTGCTAGGGGGATCCCACAAACTGTATTACTAGCACTTCATTTTTTGTTAGCATGTTGTATCCATCTCATGCTTATTCATTTTGATACCAAACTATTGCTCTCATTGGTGGGGGTTGTAAGCAGGTAATTCTGTTATGTGGTAGGTACTCGTATTATATTCTACAAATACAAATAGAGAAAAAGGACTCTCCTCAAAGCAAAAATGAAAACTCTAGCAATGTTGTTCACTTCTGCCCATGAGAAGATCATAGCTATCTTGGGCCATATTCTACTCCACTTGTGAGGTGCCTAAATGCAATCCTATTCCATCCTGAAAAACTGGTGTAACAAAATGTGGGTCCTCCTACTCCTTGCTGCTTTTTTGTGACTCAATCTTATGGATAAAATTATACTGTTACAAAAGTATATGTATTAATGAATTTTCAGTGACTTGAATACCGTGAAATTGAATCAAACAAAAGTCCTTAAGTCTATTTGGATGCTCAACAGATAGAAGAGGATCTGGTCCCTCTTTCCCACCCACAGTTTTTCTCTAAATAAGAAATGCTGTACACCATCTAAGTTGGGAGTACAGACAATGAGGCCCCTGCAGACATTACACTTAAAAGTGATTAACCAGTAAATCGCATCTTAAGTAGTAACCTGGCCACACTTTTATTCAATTGATGTTGTGATAAAACAAAAAATATGTAATAACCTTGTGTTTGGTTCCCATCATGCCATAAACTGATCATGTGGTCAGCCTCAAGGGCTCCATGTGTTCCAGTAGTGGGAAGCCCCAATCAGCTGATTCCAGGCTCCCAGCTGTGGGATCACACCTGAGCTTCACCAAGCACCCAGCTTACTGGGGAAGTAGGAGCCTGATCCCTCTCTCTCTTGCACTGGCAATATGATGCTATTGGGATCTTATCCCTGATCCCACAATCGCACTTCCTGCCATGCACATGTGGCATGGCAGAAAGAGTAAAGTGTTGGGATTGCAGTTCAGATCCCATTGTGCCTTTAACTGACTAGCCCATAGGGGCCTGAGTTTAGTTCAAAACTGATAGTAGGACAACTCCAGGCTGTCAAATAAGGTAATTTTGCAAGGCATCTGGCCACTACCAATGACCAAACATATTGCTGCTGTTCACTTTCTGGAAAAGGAAGAGTTGGCAGGTATACAGAGCCCCTAGGAAATTCTGGCAAGAAGAGCATGTAATATGAGCATCATGAGAGAGCTCTAGTGTAAGTGAGGAAAGAGAAAAAGTGATACTTGAGCATTTACTATGGAATCAAGAAAAGGAAAGGAATAATGACAAATGCAAAAAGTGTCAAAATTAAACTGACCTGTGCAACATGAATGAACTTGATGAACACTTCAGCCCGAAGTTGAGGTGTTGGCCTACTAAGAACCATTAGTTGTACCCACTGGGAGATACCATTGCAAAGAGTAATAGATCTTTCCATTGTTGGATTCTCCTTCACACAGCTATTCATAATGTAGCTCTGATAATCTGAAAACTAAAATACCAAACTAAATTAACTCATCCAGATTTCGTGTATTCCATGGTATTTGAGTGTCGGTATTTACGTGCAAAGTGAAATACTGGGACAGACTATGCATCAGACATGTATGGGAGAGATTTAATCCCTATAAAAAGCTCTACCCAGCACAAAGGAGAGGGGTTGCAATCTGGGAACTAGTTGAAGCTTCTCAAATGACCTTTCACGAGTGGTAGGTATGTGTAAAAAGATCTGTTTTAGATAAAACAGCTGGTGCAGAAGGCAGATATGATGTCTCAACCAACTGTATACCAATTAAGATACCTCCTATGTAAGAGCAACTTCTCCCTCAGCTCACAATCTGTACTATTTCTTGTTAAATACATATTCATGAATATGTATAGTAGGTTTATTTTCTAGTGTTCTAGTGTTTCAGTTTCCATCCGTGTCTGCCTTTAACCATAAAAGGAAACGTATATGTGGTTTTAATTTACAGCTTTTAATAAATGCTAGCATCTTAGAGAAATACACCATTCAAAAGCCAGAGGTCTTTATGGGATAAGCAAAAAATATTTTTTTGGAATTCTAGCATCAATGAGTTATAGTGAATACACATTAGGTTTTCTTATAGGTAGCCCTCCAAAGGTTACTCTCTGAAGTAGTTAAATTAAATATTAGGGAGTAGCATATTAGCTAAATATTAAAAGAGCTACAATATTAATCTAATATTTCATATTAGAATATTAAATGTAAACTGTCATAACTCTACTAGCTTGAGTAAAACAATGAATATTTATACCCCTATGTAATCACAGAGCCAAGTTCAAAAAGGCATCCATAAAAAGGGAGCAGAAAATGTCCATCATCACTAAGAGATGTACCAATTATATTACCATATCTACTCACAGAGGAGCACATGCACCCTTTTGCCAAAAATTAGCCTTCCAAACCTGGGGTTTGCTTCTTAAGCAAGGAGGAAGCTGATTTTTTTTCTTCCTGGAATAGCAGCAGTGGCATTTCTGTTTAGGCAGCCTTGAGGGAATTAACTGACTTTGTGGTTCATTGTAATCTACTTGATTCCTTTTAACAGCTCTTCACTCAACAGGTGTTAACAATCCACTCTCCTTTTTAAAGCTTGATCAAAGACCAAGATTTCCTTTCACTGGCCATTTCTGGTGTCTCTTCTATTTCACAGCCCTACAGACTGTTTTAAGCTTTTTTCAGAATTTTAGATCCCATAGATCCCATCTAGCCATAGATTCAGCAGCAGCAACAGTTTCAGCTTTTGGGTGAACAGCTAAGAGTTGCTGACAATTCAGCTATGAAATGATGAAAGCTCTGGCTTTTGCCTGAGCAACAAAATGAAAGGTGAGTAAACTAAAAATTAGGCTCTGTCCTTGATCTATGCAACCATAACCCTGGAAAGATTGGTTTGTTGTTTATTTGGGGGGGGGGTGCTCTTTTTTCCTTAATTCTGTCTCCCAAAAACCACAGTACCTGTCCTATTGGGGGGGGGGAGGGCGCAGTGGTATGCAAGAAAATATGGTAATATAGAACGGTACTGGTATAAGCTGTTTCACAGTAACACTGTTACATCTGCATGCTCCGTGTTTCATTCAAGGTGAAAGTGACAGATTTATCTAACCTGGCCACACTTTTGTTCAATTAATGGTGTGATAAAACAAAAGATATGTAATAACTTTGTGTTTGGTCCCCATCATGCCATAAACTGAATGGCATGATCCTCTGTATCCTGTTGCACTGTATCAGTTGTATGATCATCCATGTATCAGTTGCACTGTACCAGTTAACGTGAGTTTCCAAGTGGCAACACCCTCTTTGTAACTAGTTAAAAATTATATCTGTCCATAGGCTAGTTTTCAGAAACAGAAAGGGAGAGGGGGAGATAAGAACTATTGTCACTAAGGTTGGGGAGGCACAGAAAACAAAGAGAAACAGAAATAGTGGTGTGATTGCTGTTTATGTCAATCCTCCCAAGAGGCAGAAGCCCTGTCTTCTAAAGCTTAATTTACTTTATCTTGGAATAGGTGGCTGAGCCAAAGTCTCTTGTGTCTGACCCACATCCACAAGTGAATACATGAAAGAAAGAGCAGTGGTCCTGGAAGTCAGTCAGGTCTCCAAGACAGATGAGGAAGGAAACAAGGGTCAGGAAACAGACAAGGGCTTTAGTTCTGCATTACAAATTGTTCAGAGGAGTCCATCTTGCTTTGAGCCTTCTCTCAAATGCCCCAGATTCTTCTATAAAAAATATAGGGTACGGACAGAAGTAGAAATTTTTGCATGATCTAGCCACAGAAAGTGGTCTATAGCCATGACCAAATACAAGTGCACGGCTGCAGACCATTTAAAAAATGGCTAATTGGGTGAAAATCTGAGGGTTCAGATGAAAATGTTTCAAAACACAAGAGTCTTCTATAACTGCTGTCTGCCTGCCTGCCAGCCTCTGAGCAGTTTCCAGAATGGGAGGGGGGAAAGGGAGTGGAGGGAGTTTGGTCTGGGAGGCTTTCAGCTCCCACCAAAAGGTGGATGGGTATACTGGAGAAGGTGGGGGGCTCCAATTCACCCACCCCACACATCAGTGAAGACTGGGGATCCTCTAAAACAAGCTCCCTCCACCCTCTTTCCTCCCTCTACTTCTGAAAACAGCAACAGGCTTGGAGGGAGGTGGGGCCATTGCTAGGGGAAATGGGCTGCAGGCTGGCAGCCAACAGCTAGATTTCCTTCCCCCCTCAAACCAACAGTGAACTTCTGTTTAGTTCAGAGGATCCTTGTAACTCAGAGCACTTCCTGCAAAGCATTCTCACTTACAGCAGGGAGCTGCATTTCTGTCTGCACCCATAGGTACTAGGGGCTTGGATATGCTTACCATATCTCCTGTGGCTTAATGGATTCATTGAATCCAAACCTCAGGAAAGGTCCAATTCAGCCCTTGGTCCTATAGCTTTTCTTTAAAAAACTTAAGACTTCTTTCAAATGTCCATATCAAGGCATGATTCTAACCTCAATTACAGTGGTATAAAGCAGAAAAAACTCCAATGAAGTCACTGCAAACCTAATGCAAGTTATATTGGAACCAGGCTTATAAGGCTTTTTTTCCCCTTGTGACTTGTGAGAGTCTTATTTAATTTAACCAGAAAATGATCTAATGTGTTACAGAGTGCCCTTACTATACAACAACCAATGAAGAATGGTCATCAAGGCTGTCCACCAAGACAAGGGGATATTCATTAAAATGACTTCCTATTTTGAGTCAATGTTTGGCAATTTCTTAACATTTGAAGTCAACTTTAATACTCAAGTATCTACCTCACCTGAAGCAATCCAAAAGAGAAATCATGTGATGGAAGGCTTGTGTCCACAGCCTCCAAAATAATTCTTATTAAAAAGAATTAGTTTATAATGAGAGTGGATAATGAATTCCTCTCATTAATTTGTTAAAGTGGGCTGGAAGGGATAGACCAAGAAGAAAAAGTTGTACATTATCAGGTTTCTGCACATTCCCCACATTCTACCTTCTTTTAACCTATTTGTTTAATTTAATAAGAGCTATTAAGGGTTCAAAAAGTACAGATGACTACAGACATCCTTGCATTTTTCCCCTTGTTAAATTAAAGAAGAAATATTAACACTAATGAGCAGAGTTGTCTATGAGATTACATAGTACATATTACACGTACTTATATCCATTGTTTGAATTTTGAACCAAAGCCAGATTTGGCAATAATGTGGAACTTGAGCAGCCACACTAGACGATGAAAAATTATCCAAATTATATAACTAATTATAATTATTGTTTCATGTTGGGTTTCACTGTAATAATGAATAAGATCCATCAGTTTTTATCATCAGCACATTCTCTAAAAATAAAAAAACCCCAGCATGTTTTTCTATAATGTGGGACAAAATGTTATCTAACCTATTAGCCACTCTGCACCACTCTTGTGGAGCTGTGTCCCTGTGCAGATAAGAATTCAAGATTCACTGGGTTAAAGAGTATGACTCCATCTTACTTCAATGGTTTTCAACTTTGTCTAGACTCAAAGCAGCCCTCAGAAAATTCTGGTTTTAATTTTAACTTTTTTCCCCAAGAGGTCAGAATATTTTTAACATTATGGCTTTCAACTTGGGTTTATCTTATGAATCATGTCTTCACATTTAACAGCGCTAATGCTGTGTGGCACTCAGAAAGGGTCTCAAGGCACCCTAGGGTGCCTTGGGAACTCTGGTTAAGAATCTCTAGCTTAGGTGCTGGGGCACTCACCCTTGAGGAGGCAGCCCTTTGTGTTGGCTTTTGTCCCAGGACTGGCTTTGTATTTTACCAAATTACTTTTTTATTACACAATGCAGGAACAGTCCTGGGACCAGGAATTATTTTGTGATTTTTTTTTTTGGACCCACATAGATTTTTTTGGACACCACAGTCAAACTGGTTACCGTGCCATTCTGTCATAATACTGCTGAACTCAAAACCTTTTAAAGGCAATGCCTCTTGCAATGTTTATTGAAGCCAATGTACAAATATGTACTGGGTATAATCAGATCATTAACTTGGGTATCAGTATAATTGGAAGGAATGGGTGAAATCTGGAGCCAGAGAAATTCAAATGAGAAACAAGGAAGGGGGAGACTTGCCATATTTTCATTTAAGACTAGAAGATATATTGCCTAGTCTTAAATGAAGTATGCCTTTCTAGAAGATATATTTTAGTCAGTTACTAAGTGAAAATAACTGGCCTGTCATAGATGGGAGTACAGATGATCTGATGGTCTCTTCTGACCTTAAACCACCTTACATGTGGTTACTCTCGTGATAATATTACATCATTTCATTTGCACAATCTCTTAATTTAGTCACTGTTAGAAAAATTTAGGCTTCATGTTTCAAAAGCATGTTCTGTAAGGAGCTAAACAGATATTCTATTTCATGGATAATAATCCCCAACCCTGTCCAAGATTCCAGTAAACTAAATTTTGGTCCTAGTTTATCACTAGTAAAATATACAGAAGTCAGCATCCCACTGCTAAGTAATTACCTGTATATAATGAAGAAAGCAAGACTGACTGTGCATAATACTTGTTATGTCCATTAATCATTAATTAAGTTTGCACAGAACTCTGGAAAACATTAGCTATTAAATAAATATTAAGTATTATCATTGCCTGAAGGTAGTAGCATGTGCATAAATGAATGACTTCAGTTCCACAGGTGTTGGCTGCAGAGAAGGCTTGGAAATTTCACTGGGATGTGTCACTGTGGAAAATGGGATGGACTGCACCCTCAGCAAGTTTGTGGATGACACCAACCTAGGTGGAGTAGTACATATGCTGGAGGGTAGGGCTAGGATGCAGAGAGACCTAAACAAATTGGAGGACTAACCAAAAGAAATCTCATGAAGTTCAATAAGGAGAAGTGCAAAGTCCTGCACTTAGGATGGAACAATCCCACGCAGTGGTACAGACTAGGAACTGACTGGCTAAGCAGCAGCTCTGCAGAAAAGGACCTTGGGGTTACAGTGGACAATAAGCTGAATATGAGCCAACAATGTGCCCTTGTTGCAAAGAAAGCTAACAGCATACTGGGCTGCATCAGTAGGACTGCTGCCAGCAGATTAAGTGAAGTGATTATCCCCCTCTGTTCAGCATTGGTGAGACTGCTTCTGGAGTACTGTGTCCAGTTTTAGGATCCCATTATAGAAAGCATGTGGACAAACTGGAGAGAGTCCAGCAGCGGGCAACCAAAATTGTTAGGGGGCTGGGGCAAATGAGTTATGAGGAGAGGCTGAGGGAGCAGGGCTTATTTAGTCTGGAGAAAAGAAGACTAAAAGGGGATTTAATAGAAGCCTTCTACTACATGAAGGATGGTCCAGAAGAGGATGGAGCTAAACTGTTCTTAGTGGTGACAGATGACAGAACAAGGAGCAATGTTCTCAAGTTGCAGCAAGGGAAGTTTAGGTTAGATATTAGGAAAAACATTCTCATTAGGAGGGTAGCAAAGCACTGAAACAGGTTACCCAGAGAGGTTGTGGAATTTCCATCTTTAGAGGTTTTTAAAACTTGGGTAGATAAAGCCTTGGCTAGGATGGTATAGTTGGGGATGGCCATGCCTTGAGCAGGGGCTTGGACTAGATAGCCTCCTGAGGTCCCTTCCAAACCTAGTTTTCTGTTATTCTATGTATATTTCTACTGGGACTTAAAGCCAGAGGTTCCAGCCTAGGGGTTCTTACCCTTCCAGTTAGGGTCAGACTAGTTATCATATTTGGGGTCAGGAAGGAATTTTACCCCATGGTCAGATTGGTAGGACTATGAGAGTTTTTGCCTTCCTCTATAGCAGGAGGCATGACCCTCTTCCTGTGATCTTTTGAGCACATATTAACAACCTTTACAACAGCAGTACATTGGCTGCTGTGGTCCCCCTGCTTTACCTGTGGCAGGTTAGGTTTCTGTGTCTTGTTGTGTCAGGGTTGACTGTCTAGTTTTGCTGCAAGGTTTCTGATTTGTATGGAATGGTTTGGATAGGGATGATCCTGCTTTGGGTAGAGGATTGGACTAGATGACCTATGGAAGGCTCTTCCAGCCCTATGTCTCTGATTCTATTATACATGAGAGGAGTCAAGTACCAGGCCCTTAAAATGAATCACGTGAAATCTGCTACAATCTGTTCATAATCCCCTTAACTGCAAAATTTAAACTAGTGCAACCATTCAAAAGAGTCTATTAGTTCTTCTGGATATGCACCTCATCATATCATCTTTCAAAGCAATACGGTATAACTTCCTGGGGATCGTAGAGTAGATTGAATGCAGCACCCTACTTCTGTGCTGTCATTTTGTATTTCTGGTCTTGCCATGCACTCTAGTATCTCACATATGAACCATACCAGAATTTATTGTTGCGAAGTGTTGCTGTATTCCCAACACCTCCTTGCTAAAAATAGAAAAGTGGGCAACTATAGTACCAATAAGCCTGTTCAAAACAAATGACAGGTCAACACTTAATGGGTTGTAAAGCCATCCAGAGGCCCTTTTTCCATGGTGCAGAAGTGTGGCATGGTTCTCTGTGGTGACAGCTAAGATCTCAGAGGAGCTGAGAAAAAATGGTCTAGCTCTTCCACTGCTCTGTTCTTCCATCACTCCAAATATTTTGTCTCTGCATAAGTACTGTTTTGCATGACAGGAGATTACATATTCCTTACTCTCTCCTTCCCCCACACTTCCCTGTTTGCTGGCTAACTGTTAAAAAGGTCAAAATGATCTTCCCCCTCCCCATTTATTTGACCATCCCTCCAGAATTCAGGTCAGTATTTTGATCCCTTCTTCCCACCTGGCAACCTCTTGACTAATGCTCTTTTTGACCCACAGCTGCTGCTCAGGGCCCATGCTTCTAGACATCACTACAACAGAATATAAATGCCCTTATGCCCTACCAACCAAGCGCTCATAACTTACTGATATTCTTCGGAAAGCCTTAAATTCAAGGTAGGTGAGGTGGTCTGACAATTCTTCTGGCTCTAGATGATCAAAAAGAAGAGAGACTTTCCGTTTCTTGCTGGTGTTGGGCTTTACTCGCTGTGTCAGCTTCCGGGACCAATCCTGAGAATTTCTTTTTTAAAAAAAAGTAATAAAATAGTAAAATGGAGGTTGCTTTAACAAAATCAATTTTAATTTTTCCCTGAAACTGGTTACCTCATTTGTATGACTTACTGCAACTTACACTTAAAGCAGACTTGATGCTGTTTCTGATTCACAAAAAATGGGAAAACTTATTTTTTTGGAAGAGAACTGCATAAGGGACTGATCACATTCACCCTATTTTTAAAGGCACTCTAGGATCTATTCTTGACAAGATAAGTCCTTTACTTAAAATGCACTCACACTCACAATTTAGATCAGTGATTCTCAACCAGGGTACCATGGCACCCTGACGTGCCTTAAGAGCCTTTCAAGGGTGCAACACAACTTTAGCACTGTTAGGTTTGCTAACATGATTCACAAGATAAACTTGGAGATTTGAAATAGAAACTCATACCTGTGGTCTTTCTGAATTCTTTGACATAGAAAAACTGCTCTATTTTTCTGTAGTGAAAAAAAGAGTGAAAACTAAGCTGGCCTTTTTCTGAGGGGTGTTGCAAATCTATCTAGAGGTGCCATTGATCTATCCAGGGGTGCCTCGTGCCTAAAAAGATTGATTTAGACATTAGAGGGTCAATCAAATGAAACAAGCTGGTGCTATCTTTCCATTTGTTACTAGTATCCAACCTGAGTAACATACATGCCATTTCAAGGAATGCTTCAAAATATTTTATCCCCTACAAATCTTTGTTGTTCCTTACACAGAGTAAAATCTGCCCTGGTCAACACTGAGTTAAATTCAGGTCAATGATTTAAATTCAATTCAAGCTCTGAAAAAGGGCTCTAAGGATAATGTGGTCCTGTACCAGCCCTCTGTATAGGTTAAACAGTAAACTCTAAGATATTCTGCATGTCACTGATACAGATTTTGGGGATTTCTTCTGGTCTAGCTTGTGTAGAGTTATGTCAGTTTTAGGAAAGCAAGATACAACTTTTGTTTTGTTTTCCAAACATTAAAACTCTAACACTCACATTTGAGTTGTGTCAAGTAGACGACAGTGGAACGCCTCACCATTGGCTCTCGCCAGTTCCTGCAACTCCTCCACAGTTTTAATTAGTTTAGAATCCATTTTGAACATGAACTCTGTAATCCAATACCTTTATAGTAAATGAAAAACATAATAATAAAAATGTTTTGTGGCAACATCAGTAAGATTGAAAGACATAGATACACTTTGATTACTTGTATTTTGTTCACTCCAGATTACAAATCTTGTTAGCAAGTGTCTTCTTCAAAGTACTCTCCTCTATCTCGCTCAGGACAACAGAATGCATAAATCAAACGCAGGATTAATATGAGCACCTCTGGTTTACTTTTTTGTAAAAATATACTTTAGCTAGCTAACAAATAGCTGCGAGTTGACTTAGTGCTGGAATCTTTTTATATCAAGCTAGATCTTCAGCTGTGTTAAGTCAGTAGCTCCACTTAAATCAATGCAGCTACACTAATTTATACAAGCTAAAGATCTATGCCAAGAGTTGGCAACCTTTTTTACTCACCATAGGCAACTCCTTGTGACTCAGTGGTGCTGTGGGCTGCTCACCCCCTGCTGTGCCCCAGTTCCTGCTCTGTGCTGAGGGGCTGGTCTCTTGCTCCCTGCCCCCCGCTCCTGCACCCCCAAGGTCCTCTAAATTGTCTCTTCCTGCATCTTTCAGAGTAGCTAATTCAGTAAGCACCACTACAGTGTGGTGGGAGCAGCTTCCTCCATGGAGCTGGAGCAGGAGCCAGGATTGCCAAAAGGGATTAGCCAGTTGCTAGTAAAATGTGGAATGAAAAACCAAGGCTTGATCCCACAGCTAATCTGCAACAGGGTTCAGCACATTGCTGGTAAAATAGACCAAACTGCAGGCTGGTCCACAGGCTATAGGTTGCCAACACCTGGTCTAAGCTATTACTTTTTTTAATATTCTGTTTAATATACTGGCAAATTCTAAGACGTACTCTTGTAGAGCTTCTTGAAATTAGTCTGACAGTGAAGGAAATGCCCTGTACCAAGGCAAGTTTTTGCTTTAGAAAAATCTGCTGAAAAACTGCTACCCATAAACAAGCAAGATTTGTGTAGATGATACAGTTACACATGGATAGTTATAGCATATGAGAGATAGTTCCAGAGAAATATGGCTTTTTACATTAGATAGTCAGATTGCTAGTTGAAAATATTTCAGTATTACACATAACATTATACGGTAAATTTCCAGAAGCATTCAGCGTGCACATGCAAAACACGTGTGCACTCATTCATGACAATTCACATACACATCTCTGCTTAAGCAAAGACAGGTGTTGCATGTCGAAAGATAAGATGTGACTGAAGCAATATGCCATTTTTGAGGTAATATAATTGTCATAGTTAAGCCAACAATTGCCAGTCATTCCCTGTTTTAAAAACATATTATTTTTAAAAAATAATCATTTGTGTGCAATCGTTTTTGGCAAATGCTGACTCTTTATTAAAAATATCCCTAAGCAAAATCATCAAACATTACATTTAAATGTAATGAATGGGAAAAGAGAAGAAATTCCTATGGTCACACTGTGTTAATTTAAATAGAATTCCTAGTGAATGCAATGGGAAATTCTTCATACTGGTGTACTGCCAACATTCAACTTTACTGAACACAGAAACAGAAAACTGCACAGTAACACTGAGAACAAGATGACTAGGTACTTAAGACCTTCAGCTTCTTCTGATCATGACAAAAGATGAAGATACTCAGATACTTTAAGGACTTGGCTTGAAGTAATTATGTCTTAATAAAAAATTAGCTGAATTCATCCATCAACTTAAACAGAATTTCACCAGGCCATTACACATAAATCTGTTAAAGTTTAAACATTTAAGGAAGTCTAAAGAATACAATCACTCTTTAATGAATGGTAGCTTGAGAAATAGAAAGCCACACAGTCCTATTTGTGGCAGCACATGAACACCTTGCATAACTGTTGCTAGCATGTCATTGGCAAAATTGTTTGTATGAAAAGTCCTTACCTTACAAAATAGCATATCTTTACAGAAAACACAGAAGATTTCTTTTCTAAAGCATCCAGATAGGTGGAGAACTGTTAAGGAAAACAAGGCAGTTTACCCATGATCTGACACTTGATGTGCTTGCTGTTTCCTGGAGCCTAATCCAATATCCACTGATAGAAGTAATTGGAATAACCTTCTACTGACTTCAGCTGAGGTTGGATCATGGTTCTGATACATAACTATAACCTTCTGAAATCATTAGTGCAGGACAATTAGAAATAGGATTTTTACAAATACCAATGCATTTGATAAAATCTGAGTAGTGAAAAGAATAGTTGTGTAAATGCCTACAGTAAAATTCATTGCTGGAGAGAGATCTTTTCAAGGTAAGAAACATACATATATTGTAGAGAGAACACTTGATTTTTATGCTGTATATGCTAAATAATTTTATAGACATGGAAGATCAGTTCAGAAAAATATGTATTATGGGCTTTTTTCGGCAGGTAGGCAGTATTTGGTGTGGTATTGTGTACTTATACTACTACTATGAAGACAACTTACAGACTTTACAGGATCAAATACAAATTATATGCAATTAGGGTTACCATACATCCAGGTCTTCCCAAACATGTCGTCTTTTTTGGCCCCCATCCAGGTGGATTTTTAAAATGCAAGCAAATGTCCAGATTTTTGCTCTGCCTCTGCTTTTTCCTGGCACTTCCAGCTTGGCTGCTTGGGTCTGGGAGTAGCTGGGCAATGTGATTGGCTGTTGGGGGATCACATGCTCTGGGTGTGTGCCCTAGCAGGTAACAGAGACAGAGACACAGAGAAACAGGGATGGAGAGAGTGTATGTGTGCATGTACTCGTAAACTGCATGTACAGCAGGGCTGTGGGGAGCAGGGGACTGTGGGTCAGGAGGGCCACCAGAAGGGCTGTGGGGAGCAGAGGGCTGTAGGTCGGGAGTGAGGTGCATGGTGGGGGCAGGCACGGGACAGCAGGTCAGGAGTGAGGGGCGCCAGCAGGGCTGGGGGAGTGGGGGAGGGGGGCAAAGGCTGCAGGTTGGGAGTGAGAGTCACGGGCCAGGCAGCGGGGGGAAGGAAGGGCAGGGGGCTGCAGATTAGGAGTGAGAGGCACTGGAAGGGCTGGGGAGTGGGGTACAGTCAGTCAGGAGTGAGAGGCAGCAGCAGAGCTGGGGGGGTTGTGGCTTACGAGTGAGGGGCAGAGGCGAGGCATGGGCATATCATTGCCCTCCCCCCCCCCACACACACAATCATATACCCCTTCTCCCGCTCCTCCCCCTGCCCCCCACTTTGCTTCCCCTACAGTTGTTCTCTTTTTTGATACTGGAAATATGGTAACCCTATATGTGACCCTCATCTCCTGCAACTGATATCATGTAATTTTCCCAATTTGGTCATATAGTTTGGGGAATGAAAGCTGGTGGAGTTGAAACATTTGAAGAAAACTTCCAAAACAGACATCCAGATTAGTTGATCCACTGAAACCTATATGTCTTCTCCTCTGGCTTTGCAGATATCTACATATGGATGTAAGGACTGTCTATGGAGAACTGAAAAAACAGCAAACTGTTTCTTTAACTACAGTTCTCAGTGACGATTTAAGTAGTGAGTTTTTCTTTTATTAAAAAAAAACTGGAAAGGAAGGAATTGTCAGGTAGAGGCAAATTTGAACTCAGCCCATATCTACTGAGGTCTCCAGAAGAGACTAGATCCATGCTACATCTCAACAAATCTCCTTGGCAAAGTGCAGACAGTCAAAAAGCCTGAAGCTGAATCAACTGAGTCTTCACACATTAGTCTAAACTGTGTAGATTGAACCAATAAGCAAGCAAACAGACATTCACTTTTGAGTCCAGAAATGCAGCCACATGCCTGCAGTGGGCTAGGCCAGAAGCCAGGAGGTGCTAGAGCATGCCTCCCTGCTTGGCTAGAGAAGACAGCTTGGGCCATGGCTAGCCCACCCACCCTGCGAGGCAGAGTTTGCAGGGATGCTGTGAGTTAACTTGAATCTGGTGGATATCTGGGACAGAAGTTCAATAAACTAATATAACCCAAATCAGTTAAGTATGATACTACATCCATCCAGGTTTGTCTTAAACCAGTTTTGGCCATTTTGAAAGTAGTTTATGTGCGCTGAACTTCCGTTGTATTACAGGATTTGAACCTGATTGCAATCACTTATACTGGTTTATGTGTAATTTCCGTCCCTAGCCCTTGCGTCTATTTCTGTAGTGAGAAAGTTGTGGGGGAGGAGTATCCTTAAATCTTACATCCGTGTTCTGATCCTTTATAGATTATGGTGTAATCCCTTCTTAATACATGCTGATCTTTCTTCACTGGCATGGCTATTAATCTCCTTAAAAATTATGATTCATGTTATTTTCAACCAGAATTGTTTTCTAGACTTTGGAATAAAATTGCACCCATAAATCAGGTATTTGTTTGGTTCATAGTTAGATTGGCAGCAATGTAAATAAGGTCAGAATTGAACACCATATTTTACAGTTCTAGGGGAAATACAGGACCTTAAATTTAATGCCACTTATTCCAAACACCATTAAGCAACTGCTTGATATTCTAGACACTCCACATTCTGCGTGGGTTAGTCTAAATACTAATGTAATGGCAGGTTTTTTAGCACAAAGATGTTAATCTAGTAATTCTCAATCAGGGTGGTAGCACCCTGGAGTGCCCTGAGATCCTTTTAAGTGTGCCATGGGTTACCACACAATGTTATCACTATAAGGTTTGCAAATATGATTCACAAGATAAGCCCAGAGATTTCAATTAGGAACTTTTAAGTTATTTGCAACATAAGTATTGGACTATTATTTTTCTTTATTCAAAAAATGGGTGAAAACTAAGAGCTAGAGGTGAGTTTAAAAAGGTTGAGAACCACTGCATTAATCAGAAGCCAATACACATAAAAGTTATGTGGGGAGGAGAGAATGGAAAGGAAAGGATTAATTAAAACAAGGTGCACTAAGTAAATGCCTGAGCCAAGAGAAGGTCATGCATCACCTGTGCGCAATTAATTATAAGCAAATCTCTGCCAAAGCCAAAGAAGCTAAGCATTCTCTTTCACAGTTGGAATCTCTAAATAATAGAGCAATACTGTCAGTATTCATCATTTTAGACTTTTTATTATAAGCTTGAGGAGCCAAACTCTCATTCTTATGAATACAAAGAAGCTGACTAAAAATCTACAGCAAAATAAGAGGAAAACGTCATGATTTTTTTAAAATGTGCTGTAATTTTTGTGAAAAATATATTTTCAGAACTTGTTGCATCTCTTTATGCTAGGGATTTCTTTTAAATTTACCACTTCATTGTCTAAACTTTTGTCTGCACAGATAAGGCAATCTAAAACTAAGGGTGTAAACAAATGACTTCTCCCAGAAGAAAGACTTTTGTCCTGGGATCCTACAGATATACCAGTCCATTTTGTCAGTTTAAGCAGCTGTGAAGTATGCGAGGTAAAATGTGTTAACACTTTTTCCTGGGACAGTGTTGTGAGGTCCATAAATGTAGTCATGACTCATTCAAGTTAATTGCCAGTCATTACTGGGACAAGCCTGTCAAGCTCCATGCTCTCCCTGGCAGAGAAGCAGCAGTTTAGCTTGGAAGGGCTGTGCCCCTTCTTTTCCTGGATTTTGACTCTGAACAATCAGGACCATCTCACTTGTTTATAGCCTAGGGCACTGTGAAATACAGAAATGATACACCTGTTTATGGGGAACCAGTAGCTTGCATATACTTTACTTACAACTTTGTCATTACTATAACTGTCTTACCTTACTTTAATTACAGCATTAGAAAGGATATAGATCAATTAGTTTTCGAAGCATGTCTGTGGAAGGGATGATAAATCGGTGCATGGTCAGCATTACTTGTAGCAGCTGGCTGTTTTGACATACTTTTCCTTCTGCATCTGAAAAGTGCAGTGAAGAAGTCTTATTGAGAAATAAATACGACTTGCCATACATGATGCTGGATTATTTCAGTTTTTCACTTCTGATCAGGCCTGCTTACCTGTGGCATATTGGAGATCAACTACATACCCTGCTGCAGCAGTGAGATCATTATTTAGCAAAGATAAATATGTAATAAACAATTTGTAATGGACTTCCAAATCTTTTGATAAAAATATCAGTACTATATAAATATAAACATTAGTTCACCTTCAAAATACCATTCAGAGATGTATATAGTGGCTCCAATGTAGCAAAGATCTACCAATCTTTCACTTCAAGAACATGAATATAACCTCTGAAACAAATTAGAAAACTTAAGGACAGAGGAGTTAGGTTACTGAACCAAAATAATTAAGCTGTAACAAGACTGGATGATGGTCAAACTCTGCAGATATTTTTAAGTATACAGTTTTTTGCAGAGCTGATTTGATTCACAACTCTTCAAAGTACACCCACGTTGGGCTTTCCAGCTTCGTGTGTACAATATCAGGAAAACTTGAATACAAAAATGCAACCTCCTTGCTTAAAAAAAATCTTGCCCCAAGAGACCTAACACAAGTTATCTTTTGCTGAGTTCAGTTGTACTAGATTTAGATACAACTTTAACATTTTCTCTCTTCCATACTTGGAAAGAATCCAAGGTATCAGGCATTTCAGACGTTTAAATTAACATTACACTAAATTTGTTGCGGGTATAATTAGTATTTTATAAACACTCAAAGATTGTATTTTTATATAGTATCTGAAAAGAGAGACTGGCTAGTTTAAATAGAAATTGGATTCCCTTGCAACATGATAATAAAATATAACCATTTTGAATGCCTTTAAATATATTCTAAGAAGCTGGATTTATGTTACTAGTTAATA